CACAAAGCTGCAGTGACAAATATCTGCAGTGTGGCTGTGAAGAGGCAGGCAGCACGTGTGCAGTGCCTGGAGCTCTGAGGGCTGGGTGAGGGCTGAGTGGGGATGTGTGGTCTCTTGCCACCCCCAAATGTAGCTTGGGAGTACTTGGACATGGATTCCTCTTGTGACAAAACGGAATGTAGGATGATGCATTCGTGGGGCCTAGAAGTTCTTGCGTGACCCTGCTTTGGGCTCATTATGAGTGTTAGGTGCGTGGAAATCAGAGTTCTTTGCAGGCTTTGTGGATGAGAAAAAGCTCAGCCGAGAAGGCAGGACAGGACCTGGGCCTTGCGGGACAGATGGGTGTGCACATGGGGAGAGGAACCACAGCGGGAGAAGGATGGTTGAGCAAATGCTCTGAGGATGGAATGTGTTGCATTTTCAGTGTTTGATGAGGAAACTAGCCAAGTGCAAAGAGTTCACCCACACAAATGGGGAGAAGATGCCAGTGCCATCTTTCCTTCTTGTCATCATGATGATCATCATCATCACATTTCATTGAAATGATTTATGGGTGTCTCCATCTGCCCAACCAGGCTGTGAGCTCTTGAGAGCAGAGACTGGAAGGTAGCAGGGTGGGAGATGGCTGCCTTCAGTCTCTGAAGGTAGCAGGGTGGAAGATAGCTTGCTTCTGACCTGGGTCTCCAGGGCCCAGCACCTAGCAGGTGCTCCATATAGATGTATTTGAATGAATGAGTGAATGAGAGAGTGGGTGAATCTGTTGAGAAAGGCAGATTATAACCAGATTGTGGAAGGTCTTGTGTAGGGACTGGGGACCCATTGAAATGTTTGAGTGGGAAAATATCTCTCAAGGGGGTGCTTTGGGGAAGAGTAACCTGAGAGCCATGTGCAGGGTGGACTGAGGGGTAGAGAGAGCAGATAGGATGGAGGACCATGAGGAGGCAACCGGGTGAGGTTCTCAACTCATCTCTGAGATGATGGAAAAGAAAGCACAGCCAGGACAGGAATTAAACACGCACTCAGCAAACATTTTCATATCATGGCCTTTTCCAATGGTTTCTACCATGCTTAAGATTCTACATCCTTTTTTCCCCCTCTGGTATAATAATAGTAAAAGTCGGAAAAGAGTCTAAATAATTGAGAAAAGGTAGGAAAAACTGCAACGTGCCACAGTTTTGTCCACCTGACTGGGCCGTGAAAAGGGCTGGAAGGTAAGCCCAAGAATGGATGGGGACAAGGAACATGGCAGGCACTGGATCTGAGAGGGAGAGAGGGCTGGACAGCGGGCAGTGCTGATGGCCTCAGCACAGAGCTACTGTGTTCTTTTTCAGAAAAGGTGGAATTCTTGACTTTACTGTTATAAAGTGAGGGGTAGAGGAGGAGAAAGGATTAATAACTGTTTGTTTTCTGCCAAGTTAAAAACCTAAGTTCTTGAAATGATTTTATACACAATGTTCTAAAGATTTTATAAATTCCTCTCTAGGGACAAGCCTCCAGAGAGAATATGTCCCAAGGGAATGTCCCTGCAAGAACAGAGCCAGAGGGAGCAGTTGGAAGTTTCCTCAGAAATGCAAACCACCCTCTGTAGATTAAAGGCCTTCGCGTTGGCTTCTGTTTTGCCCTGTTGAAACTTGCCATGTTCAGAGAACCACGGTCAGTTAAGATCAACCTTCAAGGACATCCATAGATAACAGAAGCCCAAAATGTCCAGTTACAATGTCAGAAAGGGAGACAGAACAAATGGGAAGAGCACAGTGTGATTTTCTAACCCGGAACCTCCCCATTTTTAGTTTTTACTATACTTTGTTTCTGGTCATGATTAGTAGAAAACCTTGCAGACAGACTGGGCCTGTACATCTGCTCGTCTTCAGTGTTACAAGGTAGGTAGTTGAGTTCTCTCTTCAGCCAGGTTTGGGACAGAAGAATCCAGGGGAGTAAGAGGTGGGACAGCCACAGAAAGGAGAGGAAAGCTACAAAGGTCCTGGGGCCTTTGTCAGAGAAGGAAAGGGAGAATCTCCTAATTAGAGGCTGTGATGGTTAATTTTATGTGTCAGTATGTCTGGGCCATGGCCCAGGAATGTGGTCAAGCATTATTCTGGATGTTTCTGTGAGAGTGTTTTGGATGAGATTAACATTTAAATCAGTTTGAGTAAAGCCGACTTTGAGTAAAGCAGATCGCCCTCCACAGTATGGGTGGGCCTCATGCAATCAGTTGAAGGCCTGAATAGGACAAAAGACTGACTTTCCCCAAGCAAGAGGAAATTCTGCCAGCAGACAGCTTTTGGACTCAACTTGAGGCATTCGCTCTTTCCTGGGTTCTCAGCCTGATGACCTTTGCAACTGAACTGCAGCATTGGCTCTCCTGGGTCTCCAGCCTACAGGGCACCCGGCAGATTTTGGGTTAGCCAGCCTCTATAATTGTGTGAGCCACTGCCTTAAAAGAAACCTCCCCTTATACCCTCTTTGTATATCTACATCCTACTGGTTCTGTTTCTTTGGAGAACCCGGACTAGTTTAGAGGCTTAGTTACAGCAGCTCCACGGATTTCTAGTACCTCCATTCTTGGGACTGCACCCAGGAAGGAGGAGGAACCAGCTGGAGCAGACAGACCTTTCAGAGTTAGTGCCCCTTGGCGAAGCCACTGCTTCACTCCTGCTTGCCTTTGGTTATGTGTGCTATTAGCAAAACTTGGTTGGGCTCAAGCCATAGACAATTCCAAGCATGCTAAAACTTTGGAGAGAGGTATTTGCTACATTTACAAGGGGATGTTTGAATGTTATTTAGAGAAAGCAGAGCATGATAATTACTTGCCAAGTAGGATTCCCTTGACTCAACATTAAAAAACAGATATGAAACAGAAAGCACAGCATTAGAACAACATTTCTTTTCAATAATGAACTTTACTCTGAAGTAGATGGTTAACCCTCAAGTATTCTAATTTATCTTCATATTCTGGCCCAACAAAATTTCAGCCAATTAGCATTCCTGACTTGGTGTAGTACAATGCATAGCTTTAGGGTTTTGACCATGCTTGTTGAATGGAGTGATTGTCTTGACCGTTCAGATTGAGCAGGGACCATGACTAGACAAATCAAGTAGATAGCATAGAGAGTAGATAGCATAAAGATTCAGTGGAAAAAATAAAGCACATGTCTTTCGGGCTGGAAGTCATTTCTGAGAAACAGAGAAGTGTGTCCTTCTGCTCCAAGATTCATTTCCAAATTGGTGACTGTGAACCCCAGAAGGCTGCCAGTCATGATGGCACCCAAGGCCACCAGGCAGCCAAGAAGTGAGCTGGACCTCAGCAAATAGAAGAGGCACTGAAGGAGCAGTCTTGACTCCAACTCTTTTAGTGCTGAAATAAAATTTTGTGCTAGTTGGTTAGTCTTGAATCCTGACATTTGGGGTGAGGGTCAGGGGTACTGGGAGAAGAAGAGGGGAGAAGGAGGGAGACATTTCTAGCTAATTCCAGACATTCTCACTGCAGTAACAGCATTAAAACACTGACCAAATGCTCGAACTGAAAATGAAACATTAGACAGTGAGATTTTAGTGGGAGGAAAGTGGACTTCATATGACATACACCATGTTCTTGATAAACTACTTGCTAAACTCCTAAAATGCCATGTTCTCTTCCCATTCTAGGCCTTGCCCCATCTTTGCCGGAGACTACCTATTCATTAACCTAACTTCTCCTTGATCATTAGGTCTTTATGCAGAACCACTTCTAGAAGCCTTTCTCATTCTTCCTGTGTGCTGCCACGGCCCTGCCACCTGGTAGAATAGCTGCCTCCTAGACTGTGTGATCCTTGAAGGCAGGGATGTGATTTGCACACAGTTATATCTACCGTGCCTTGAACAGGACATATAAGTGGCCTCCTTCCCACTCCCTAAAGTTTTGACCTTGTCCCAGAGCCCAGTGGATCTGATTCAATCCCAAAGCAGGGACGCTATAGGGCCCTACCTATTCTTATCTAGCTGGTCCCATTTTTGGACCTGCTTTGACACAGAAACCCACTTTCTGCATGTATTCCTTATAATATAGTCCCTGCTTTTGCTACCCCAGCTCTTCCAGAAAATGGATTTCCTTTCTTAACTTTCAGTTTCTCTCGGTTGTACCAAATACCTGCAAGTAGGTCTCCCCATTTCTGATAATGGAGGCTGGTTGGTTCTGTTAGAACTTGTGCCCATCATCAGTTTTTCCAGCTTGTCTTAGATACGATCCTAGACCCTGAGCATTGGCTATGCCATCAACAAATGGGCATTTCAGCCTGTTTCAGACCTAACTTTAAGTGCATGTCCTTTAATAACTGATGCTGTCTTTTGTTTGTTTGTTTTTGTTAATGTTGTTTTGTTTTGTTTTTTAGATTCAAAGTCTTGCTATGTTGCCCAGGCTGATCTCCTGGACTCAAGCAATCCTCCTGCCTTGGCCTCATAGAGTGCTGGAATTACAGGCATGATCTGCCATGCCTGGCTCTGTGTATTCTAATACTGGTCTCTCACTTGGCCCTGAGGGACCTCTTGGACACCATTCCTGGGCTCTCTGGATCTGTCTGTCCCTCCTGGCAGTTCCCAGATGTCAGGGATTGGCTGTGGGTACAATCTCAGAAGCGTAAGGATAAACAGTAATGTGTCTTGGAAACATGCTGAAAGACCTAGATTTTCTATGTTTGGAGATTTAAAACTTTTTTTCTGCAAATTGCAAAACAAAGACCAGCTGTACTCTCCCAAGAAAACGCCCAATTATACTCATGCCAGGTGGAGTCCTACTTTTGTAATGAAATGTAGGGTCTTGTCATGGGTCCAGTATGGTCCCCCAAAGAAGTCCACACCATAATGCCTGGAACTTGGGAACATGTTACCTTACATGGCCAAAGGGAGTTTGCAGATGTAAGTGGGTTACTGACCTTAAGATAGAGAGACTCTCCAGGTGAACTCAATTCAATCATCTGAGCTCTTAAAAGCAGGGAACTCTCTCTGGGTGGACTCAGAGAGATGCAGCAGAAAGGAAGTCAAGGAGATTCAACGTACAGTTCTGAGAAGGGATTCAGTGTGCCGTTGCTGGCTCTGAGAAGTAGGAGCCTTGTGCAAGGATTCAGGAAAGGTCTCTAGGAACTGAGGATGGTTCTCAACTGGCAAACACAAGCAACTGAATTCGGCCAGGCATCTGGGTGAGCTTGGAAGCAGATTCTTCTCCAGAGCCCCCACTAAGGATTGTGGTTCTGCTGACAGCTCGATTTCAGCCCACAAGACTCGAAAGAGGACCCAGCCTGAGTGTGGTGGTTCCCACTTGTAACCCCAGCACTTTGAGAGGCTGAGGTGGGAGGATCACTTGAGCCCAGGAGTTTGAGAGCAGCTTGGGGAATATAGTGAGATCCTATCTCTACAAAAACAAACAAACAAACAAAAATCCAGAAACTGCTCAACAGGTTCACCTTGTCTGCTGCCTAGACAAAGCTGATTTATCAAGACAGGAGAATTGCAATGGAGTAATTCACGCAGAGCCGGCTGTGCAGGTGACCGGAGTTTTATGATTACTCAAATCAGCCTCCTCGGGCATTCAGGGATCTAAGTTTTTAAGGATAATTTGGTGGGTGGGGGCCAGTGAGTTGGGAGCGCTGATTGGTAAAGTCAGAGATGAAATAATAGGGGGTTGAAGCTGTCCTCTTACGCTGAGTCAATTCCTGGGTGGGGACCACAAGATCAGATGAGCCAGTTTATCAATCTGAGTGGTGCCAGCGGATCCATCAAGTACAGGGTCTGCAAAATATCTCAAGCACAGATCTTAGTTTTTACAATAGTGATGTTATCCCCAGGAGCAATTTGGGGAGGGTCAGAATCTTGTAGCCTCCAGTTACATGACTCTTAAGCCATAATTTCTAATCTTGTGGCTAATTTGTTAGTCCTACAAAGTCAGTCTAGTCCCCAGGCAAGAAGAAAGTTTGTTTTGGGAAAGGGCTGTTTTAAACTATAAACTACAAACTAAGTTCCTCCCAAAGTTACTTTGGCCTACACCCAGGAATGAACAAGGACAGCTTGGAGGTTAGAAGCAAGATGGAGTTGGTTAGGTCAGATCTATTTCACCATCTCAGTTATGAGTTTGCAAAGGTGGTTTCACAGCAAGCTATGATCGTGCCACTGCACTCCAGCCTGGATGACAGAGCAAGCAAGACCCTATCTCTAAACAAATAAAATAAAAACGTAAAAAGAAGACCCAGTTGAACCACACTGTACCCAGATTTCTGAGCTACAGAACTGTGAGATAATACATCGGTGTTGTTTTAAGCCACTGAATTTGTGCGGATTTGTTCTGGCACCAATAGAAAATTAATGGAGGCCATCACAGAGGTCAGATGGGACCTTGATGGGAAGATCTCCCATTGCCTCTTGCCATCTAAGATCCTTGGGCTGCAAAGCATCTCTACTGCTCTTTGCCGATTGCACAGTTAATGAAGAAAAAACCCCCTGAGCCAAGAACACTGGGATTTTCATCTCCATCTCACAACAGCTTTCTTCCTGGGCAGGAGCTTCCCTCAGTTCCACATATTTGGAGTTCCACAGCCTTCCCTGGGAGCCAGAATGTGGTCATTTCCTTGCCTAGCCCAGTACAGCCAAGCTCTAAGGAAGCTGTTATCAAAACAGGAACATTCGTTTCATGTGTCCAGTACTTCTGGCTGCAAAGTGGAAAGAGACTTACTCCGCAGCAAAAGCAAAGCATCAAATAAAACATTTCTGTGAAAGACCTGGCAAGCAGGCACGTCAGCTCTCTGAAGACATCCTCTTGTTCAGCAAAGTGAAATAGTCTATAGAAATAGGGCTGGAACAAAGGGCCCTGGTGGTTTTGTCCTGGATTCCCTATGAATGGTCAGCTTCCTTGAGCAGAGTTCAGTGCAAATGAGGCCAAGGCTAGGGATTGGCTCTGGAGGCAGGTCAATGAGCTCCAGTCTATTTTGTGGAGGAAGAGTCCCTCTATTCAAAATGCCTTGACCACCTAATATTTTCCAGGTCCTGTGCTAGGGGCGAGGAGGACAGAGAGAAACAGAGTCAGATCCTCCCACAAAAATCCACGAGATGTTGGGGAGCCGAACTTGTAAACAGCCATCACCAACGCAAAGAAGGATGCACTGATGCTATCCAGAGGTGCACAGGAAATGGTTCATGGGCATAGAGGTAGGAGATACGACTTCTGCTTGCATATTACCAACGAAGTGTCACAGGAGAGAGAGTATTTGAGCCAGACTTTGATTGAGAGTCAGGGATAAAAAATTGTTGATGACATGTATTTGGTGCTTTACATTTCATAATTTCACTTCAATGGAATTTTGGTAGGCAGAGCATAGCCGAGGTGTTTTAATGTAGAAAACTGTAGGAGTAGGTATACATGGGCATAAAGATGTAAAAGTTCATGATATTTCCAGCAACTAGGTGTTCTCATTGATACTGGGGTATTGTTGCTTCTACTTCTCAGTGGACATGGAATCTATCCAGGAATGTTCCTGATTTATATCAGATAGATTTACATCAGGAACATACCTAGATAGATTTATATCAGGAACATACCTACGTAGATTTCCATACCTATTTATATAGATTCGAATCTATGATTTTACACTTATGTCTTCAATTCCGAATAGCACCTCAGGGTTTAGTTTTCTCACTTTCCATATACATACATGTATTTTTTGAGATGGAGTCTCACTCTGCTGTCCAGGCAACAAACGTGCAATGGCGCATCTCAGCTCACTGCAACTTCCAGTTCCCCAGTTCAAGCAATCCTCCTGCCTCAGCCTCCTGAATAGCTGGGATTATAGGCGCCTGCCACCACGCCTGGTTAATTTTTGTATTTTGAGTAGAGACGGGGTTTCACCGTGTTGGACAGGCTGGTCTTGAACTCCTGATCTCAGGTGAGTCACCTGCCTTGGCCTCCCAAAGTCCTGGGATTACAGGTGTGAGCCACCGTGCCTGGCCTCACTTTCCATATTTGTAACTCGCTTCTCCACAGTGTTCCTGGAGAATGAAGTGTACTGAGATAGAGAAGACAGATGTGAAGGATGGTTTAGGATCTGTCAGGGAGGTCCCTGAGTGCCATGATAAGATAAAAGACTCTGTCTCTCAGGTTTGGTTGAGTTATTCAAGGTTTCTGAGAAGAGAGTGATAAGATTCAATCAGAAGAGTACAGTTAACAGACGTAAATAGAATCAAATACGGTTTTTAGGTAGAAAGGGAAGGCCTGGGGGCATCTGTTGCAGAGTGGTAAAAACGATCTTGCACTGAGTTCAACCTGGTTGCTAGATAACTCTGTACTGCGATGCCCCTGTGTGATAAGCTCAGCATATTCCTTCACATTCTGGAATGCTTTTTACTTGGAATCTGAAAGTCTCTGTGGAGGTGCTCAAGAGGTTACACTGTGCTTGTTTACCCATCATCCATGTTGTAACAAGGACCCATTATTACCCAAGAGGGAGGTTTCTACAGAAGGATTTTATAAATGGATAACCTATGTCACAATGAGGCTGGAGTTCATTGTCACAGGACACTGGAATCCTTCTTCAATGATTATGTGTAAGTCAGGATGTCTTTTGTGGCAAATAATTGAAAACCCAATATGACAAGCTGAAACAACAAGGAATTTTAATCACTCCTGTGGCTGACAGTCCAGAGGAATCAGGACGGGCTCGATCCAGTGGCCCCAGATCTTTCCCTGGGATCCTCTTGGCTCTGCTTTCTTCTCACACTGGCAGTGGATGATCACATGATTTTTTGGGTCTAATCTCAATGCCTGGCATTATCCAGAGGAGGAAAAAAGTTTCTTTCAGAAAGTCTTCAGAGAAGGAAAAAAGACTTTTTTGGAAGTTTTCAGTAATAGCAATAGTCTCCTCGTATCTTAAGAACATTTCTTTCCATTTGTGTTATTTTCTTTCTATTTTTTGGGAAACGATCTCAAATTTAGAGAAAAGCTTCAAGAACAGTACAAAAAAGTCATTTCTCTGAATTATTTGAGGGTAATTTGCTGACATGAAATTCTGTGCACCAAGATAATTTAGTGTATATTTCCTGTGGAACAAAGACATTCTCCTACAAAGCCGAAATTCTAAATCGCAGACACCGTTGAAGTTTTGTTTTTTTTTTTTTTCTTTGAGATGACGTCTCACTGTGTCACCCAGGCTGGAGTGCAATGGTGCAATCTCAGCTCACTGCAACTTCCACCTCCCAGGTGCGAGTGATTCTCCTGCCTCAGCCTCCCTAGTAGCTGGGATTACAGGCATATGCCACCATGTCCGGCTAATTTTTGTATTTTTAGTAGAGCTGAGGTTTCACCATGTTGGCCAGGCTGGTCTCAAACTCCTGACCTCAGGTGATTCACCTGCCTCAGCCTCCGAAAGTGCTGGGATTACAGGCGTGAGCCATTGCACCCGGCCTTCCATTCCAGTTTTGCCACTTGTCCTGATTATGTCCTTGTAAAGGATGTCCGACTTTCATGACCTTGATATTTTAAAAGACTATTTTATTGAAGGTCCCTTGGTTTGGGTTTATCTGATGTTTCCTTATGATTGGATTCAAGTTTTGCATCTATGGCAAGAATATCACAAAAAGTAATGTGGTGTTTGTTTTGTTGCATTGTATCACCTGGCACATGATTTTGATTTGTTTCATCGTGAGAGATGTTAGTTTTGACCACTTAATTAAAGCAGTATCTGCCAGGCTTCTCCACTATAGTTAACTTACTTTTCCTTTGTAATTATTAAGTTGTAGGAAGGTACTTTGAGACACTGTGAATATATACCTTCTTATCAAACATTTAATATCTTAATTTATCTATATATTTATATTAGTATGGACTCATGAATTCCTAATTCATTTAATGGGTTATGATCTCTAACTACTGTTGTTTATTTTGATATTGAGATTCTCCTTTATTTGACTGTCGGAACCCCTTTAATCTGGACTCTGTGTCCTTTTGATATGTCTCCTAATTCTTCGGGCACTTCTTACTTTCTGGTAGAATAAGATATTCCAGACTCATTTTGCCCTTTCCTTGCTCAAATCATGGAACCAGCCATTTTTTTTTTTTTTTTTGGTAAGTAGTCCTAGCTCCAGTTAGTGGAGAAAGATATTTAGAAGCCAACATTTGGATGCTATGTATTTTCATTGCTACTGGGTTGTCATTGCTTCTAGAGTCTCTCAGTGAACAGGGCTAGGGACTCTACGCTGTTATATATGCCTGCATTTACAACTATGTCTATTTCTACATTGATCAATCTACAAATTGAAATCCATGACTTCACACCAATGTCTCCAATTCCAACACAACACTACAGGGTCAAACTAGTTTCTCTCTTTCCATGTTTGTGATTCACTACTCCAAGAGTGACAAACTTGGCTATCATAATTCTCATCCTATTTGTTCATGTGACTAATTCCCAATGTGTAATCAATTTCCCATTGCTGTAGTCTTCCCTCCCAACATCCTGTCTTTCCTTGATAGTAGCATCCTCTTGTTTCTTATCAGCTTTCACAGCTATGTCTGAACCAGTCACTGAAAGAGGGATACAAGAACCTTTATTTAGACCAACGGCTCAAAGCTGCCTCTGGAGCTGGGGTGGGGTCATCTTTCATTGGGATACGTGGGCTGTGTCTAGGAGAGGTAGAGATCTAAAAAAATTTCAAAGTTCTCTTAGAAAAAAAGAAGGGAGAATGGATGTTGAATTAGCAGTAACAGTGCCCACTAAAGAGCTGTACAAACACATTCCTGTTATTGAAAGCAAGCAGCTCTCATCCCAACAAGCATGTCAAACTGAAGGCAGACCTCTTGCATCATCTTTCTAATGATGGGAAGCACAACTCCTTGGTGCTAGAGCCAAGGAACAATGTCTGACTGCCGAGAAAAGAACCAATAATGTAAACAGCCTCCATGAACAGCAAACTATTCAGACAAGAATTCTGGAGCAGAGCCCAGGGCTTAAGTCATGGCAGAATAAATATATTCTGAAATCACAGCCCAGCTTTTCCCTATCTCAACCCCCTCCCTGTTCCCTTCCCCATACAATTATTTGGATTAAATGTATGTGAATTCAAAATGTTAAAGACATTGACAAATTTCTCTATGGAAATGTTGCAAAAAGTTCCACTTTCACCAAAGCGTTGATGAATGCAGGCTCCTCCATACCTGGGCCACATGGACCAACATGATGTATTAATATTACCAGACTTATACATTTTTTCCATTCTGAAAATTGGCACTCGTTGTTGTTTGGATTTGCATTTCTTTAATCATAAGTAAAGTAAAACATGTTTTCATGTGGTTAAAACATCATTTTTGACCAGGTGCAGTGACTTATGCCTGTAATCCCAACATTTTAAAAGGCTGAGGTGGGAGGATCGCTTGAGGACAGGAGTTCAAACCAGCCTGGGCAACATAATGAGACCCCATTTCTGTAAAAAATAAACAAAATTAGCTGGGCCTGGTGGTGTATGCTTGTGGTCCCAGCTACTCAGGGGATAGTAAGCTGGGATGGGAGGACAGCTTGAAGTTGGGAGGCCAAGGCTGCAGTAAGCCGAGATCATGCCACTGCACTCCAGCTTGGTTGACAGAGTGACTTTTTTTTGACTGTCTCAAAAAAAAAAAATCATTTTTATGTTTTCTGTGAAAGCCTATTTATATACTCTGGCTACTTCATTGAATGAATGATTTTTTTTTCTTACTGATTTGTAAGAGCTCTTTGTATATTGAGAAAATTACAATATGATTTTGTGATATGAATTGCAAATATTTCACCTACTTTGTTTTTAGGATAGTTTTTTCTGGTTAACATTTTTTGCCTTTTATGTTATAACATGTATTAGTCTTTTGCTTAAGGCCTTATGACCTGAAGAATTAAATTCTGTATAAAGCGTGTTATACTGCTAAGCCCTGCCCCTCCCCGTCCTCCTCCATCCCAAGCAGTCTGGTTTCTACCCCAAGATCTTAGCCCTTGCTCTGTCAGGATGGACACTCAACTGAGGCCTTTCGCGATATTCCTTTGTCATAAACTGAGAGCCCATGGTATTCTAGATGCTGTTCTAGGTGCTGAGGATACAAAGATTCAGGTGAAGAAGACCCAGCCTGTGCCTGCCAGGAGCTCAGAGTCGGGTTGTGTGAACAAATACGTTGAATAAAGTCTATGATAAAA